GGGTCAAATTGTCATGCATCATATCCTGAGGGCTTTGATTGAGGTTCCTGAATCAATCTTGAAAACTGTTCTAATCTGCCATAGCATCCCAAGCATGATCCTTTCCCCACTGTCAGCTCTGCAGGGTTCCACTTGCAACTGTGATGAATTGAACTCCTGCCAACCATGATTTTGGGACAGTCTCCATACTTTTCATACTCCTGAAAGAAGTGTAGGGAGGGCAAACCCACCAAATGAACAAATCAATAACCCACTGTTATCAAGTCGATTCTGACTCCTATGGGGTTTCCAAGGCTATAAATCTTTACTGGAGTAAATAGTAGCTGGTGGGTTTGAACTGCTAACCTTGTGGTTTTAGTATCCAACACTTACTACTAGGGAGTGCCAGCAGGGCTCCTTCACATTCTCTATAATTCCATCTTTGACCTTGTAGTCTTTAAGAGGAATTGGATGGGGCAAGTGAGCGTGCCTATGAGCAGAGGAGATAATCCCTGGTATATGTTTGCTTTTCCACTCATCTTATATAGCACTGCTGATGTCTCAGGGGCTCGGAATTCCAGAGAGCTCAGGATGTATGAGAAGTCAACAAGACTCAAAGGGAGTACAAGGCAAGCTGTTATATTTATGACTGAGTAATGGTGGGTGGAATGTGCTGACAGCCCCCAAAAGGCCACTCCATCAGTCAAGGAGATCTTTGGTAAGCATCCTGTTGTTCCTCATTGCTAGCAAATCATTTTCACTGAAAATGGCACCAAAGGAAGAGGGAAGATGAGCAGTCCCCAGTCCCTTTTCCTTTGAGTCCTTCCTTACTCATCAGGGAGTAGAAGCTATTCGGAAAATGCAGTGTGTCAGGAAATGAAATAGAAAACAGGAGTTGGTCCAACAGAGGATATCTGTATATGCTTATTTGCCTTTCCTACAAATATATCCATAAATGTGATGAAGCATATGGGGGACAAAGTTGTGAAAACATATTAGATATAACCAAACACCTTGAGGGAATGAGTTACAGGGCCTGGGGGATCAAGACCCCCAGGTCAGATGGCATACCACAGTTCCCAAAGACAATGCTGTACATCCCAACTTGGTGAGCAGTGACCTGGTGTCTGAGAAGCTGTGAGCACCCATCCAAGGAGCAGCTATTGGTCTATCCTCGTCTGAAGGAAAGAAGAGTGATGAAAATCAAGACGCACAGAAACAATTTGTCCAGTGGGCAAATGGACCACTCACGCATCAGTCTCTACAATCCTGAGACTAGAACTAGACGGTGCCTCGTTACTTCTGCCGAGAACTCTGTAGGGGATCACATCCGAGGGTCCTGAACTCAAGATCATAAAAGAGACCAACTTCACTGGTGGGACAGAGCCTGTTGGGACCTCTGAGACTATGGCTCTTACCCTTTCTCCAGGTCTGATCTGAACTCACCTCCTTGTTAGTCATCAACCCGTTACAATCAAAAGGGCAGCATTGACCCAAGGACAGAGTTCAGAGGGTTAGGAAAGAAAGAAGAATGGAAACAGGAAACGAGACGAGAAGGACATAGGAGAAGTGATGGATTGAGGGGATTGTAATGGGTAAGTTTAGTCAAAATCTGTATGAATTGTTAAATGTAAAAACATGCTCTGCTCTGTAAACGGTTTTTCACAATAAAATTCACAATAAAAAGGTTTTTTTTATTTTTTTAATGAAATGGGGATGGGGGAAGTGTTAGTTTTACTCAGCATTTCCAATGTTCTTGGAAGGATGGGAAAAAAAATGCATGTATGAGCTACCAAATAAAAATCATGTGATCTTCTTTCCCAGGTTACAGAACACTACGGATGACAGTGAAAGCCCCAAATCCGTTTACAGAGCCCTGGCATGCGCGGAGTCTCTGGCATTCCCTCACATGATTGAACAGGGATGGGAACCGTCTTTGTCCACCAAACCAAGCCACTGCCATCGAGTCAAGTCTGACTCATAGCGACCCCACAGGCAGACGAATGCTGCCCTTGTGGGTTTCTGAGACTAGTTCTTCATGTAATTCTCCACGCTCCCATAAAAAAGCCTTGTGGTTCTCCTCGGAGATGGCTAGGGGTTTTGCACTGCTGACAGTGTGGTTAGCCACCCAACACAGTGGACAGCACCATGGTTGTCCACAGACAGGGTAATTGGAAAGTAGATTAATGCAGATACTATTTGGTTTAAATTTAACACCCTATCATTCATTTATTTTCCCTTTTGACTCATTTTTAACTTGTCCTAGTTTTTATTATTTCTTCTCTCTTTTGGAATGAAACTTTTCTGTCTTACTGTTGCTAGGTTTTGTTGCTTTTCCCCATCTTTTGTATGCTTTTCTCTACCTTAAATCTAGGATTCTTAAACCTATAGAGAAAGCAACTAGTTCAATAGTTTCTTGGGGTTACGACAGGGAAGGGTGGGGGGACAGGAGATGTTAATAACAGTGGATGCGAGAATGAAGAAAAATGTTCAGAAATTGATTGTAGTAATGATGGTACCACTCATTCTGATATATTGGAACCATTGATTTGTATATATGAATTATATATCAATGAAATATTTTTAATCGTGTGATTTTGATAACTCTGTATATGGATTAAATGTTCTTATGTTTGCATTTACCTGGCATTGCACATTGTAAGCTTGGAGATCCGTGCTAATAACTCATGCATTTTCATTGACTTCTATTAAGCATCCAGTAGAAGAGCACCATGACGAGTCATGAGAGGGATCCTCTCTCTCACGGCCACCCAGTTGGTTGCAGCTCAGTGATGCTGGAAGCCTGAGTCGCCCTCTCGAAGCTGTGTTACATGTTTTTCTGTTTCTCGATACATGAAACTTAGGACTGATGAACCTACAGAGACAGCAAGTAAAGTAAAAGTTTCTGGAGAGGGGGGTTCAGTGGTAGCGAGGGGGTGAAGGGGAGAAGATGTCAAGGAGTTCATGTAGAAAGAGAACGTTTGGAAACAGATTGTGGTAGCAATTCTACGATTTTTCGTGATGTGATTGAACTATGGAATGATATGATATATATAAATATAGATAGATGGATAGATAGATAGATAGATTGATTGATTAAAGACTGCATAGAACTGTCCCTGTGGGCTTAAGAGGTTATGAGAGTAGAAAACATCATTTTTCTTCTGGGGAGTGGCTGGTGGTTTCAAACTCGTAACCTACTATGCCACCAGGCTCCTATGAGTGAGATCATTTGTTGTTGTTGTTGCTGCTGCTGATGTTGTTGCTCGCTGGTCTCAAGTCAGTGCCGGTTCCTAGTGATGCTACGTACGTAGAACAGAAAAGGAGGAAAAAGCTTGTCACGAGGGGGCCTCCAAAGGTAGAGGGGGAAAATCCATGATCTTTTAACTCCCTTTTCCCCAAAACTTTTTGGAAATCCCTCATAGTATCTTTAATTTTCTTTTTGTTTCTAACCAGGAGGGAAGAGAGAGACACGTCTTCATTTTGCACTGGGCCTTGCCGATCGATATCAGGCCCAGTTCTTGAACTGATGGCCTTGACTTGTGGTTCTTTGCTGTCACACAGGGGTCAGTTGCAACAGTGTAGTAGACAAGGGTGTCTCACCCTGGGTCCAGAGTCAGGAGTGCTGCCCGTTGTCCATAAAATGCTGCCATGTCTGCCCACTCCTCCCACGTGCCCACAGCCTGCTCTTCCCCTGCTGTTCCCTGGCTCTCACCTGTCCCTTCACTAGCTTCTGTGGGGGTGCATTCATCCATCTTTCAGGCTGAATGTCTGCCTTCC